CTCCCCTGACCCCCCGAAACAGCACTGCACTCACCCCAGCATGCCACCTGCACTCCTCCTCCTCGTTTTCCTCTCTTCCGTCCCAAAATCACCTCCCTCTACCCGCCTACCCCCCCAAAACAGCTCTACATTTCCCCTTCACTTCTCCCCTCTCCCCACTATGGCACTCACTACCTCCTCCTGGTACTCCACTCCCCCGTCGACCCACGTGCCACCACTACCAGACCCACACGCTCCTGCACCTCCCATTCCCATGCCACCCTCCTCACCCTTCTCCTCATCCGCTGGGGACATGCCATACCGCAACCCCCTCAACCTCATACCTGTGCACCTCCTCCCCGCATCCATCCCCCCTCTCTCGATTGCACTTCTGAACGCCCGTTCGGTCTGCAACAAACTAACTGCCATCCATGACCTCTTTATCTCCCGCTCCCTCAACCTCCTAGCCGAAACCTGGGTACAGGCCACTGACTCTACCTCCCCTGCGGCACTCTCCCATGGAGGTCTCGTCTGGTCCCATTCACCAAGACTGAGCGGTCACAAAGGTGGTGGTGTCGGCTTGCTCCTATCACCGCTGAGCACCTTCCAGGTCCTCCCTAACCCCCCCTCCCTGTCCTTCTCCTCCTTCGAGGCTCACTGCATCCGGCTCTTCTCACCCACCCCACTAAGGATCGCAGTGATCTACAGGCCCCCCCGGATCCATTCCCCGCTTCCTGGATGACTTCGCCGCCTGGCTTCCCTTCTTCCTCTCCTCTGAGCTACCGACCATCATCCTCGGGGACTTCAACATCCCCATCAACGACAACACCCCAGCTACCTCCCAACTCCTCCACCTAACCTCCTCCTTTGTGCTCACACACAATACACTCAATCCTCCACCCATTCCTCCACCTAACCTCCTCCTTCATGCTCACACAATACACTCAATCCTCCACCCACATCAGTGGGAACACCCTGGACCTCGTCTTCTCCCACCTCTGTACCCTCAACCATTTCACTAACACCCCCTTCCCTCTCTCCGACCACCACCTCCTCACGTTCTCCACCTCCCCCCCTTCCCCTAACTCCCCCCCCCCCAGTGCACCAAACCATCACCAGCCGCAACCTCCGCAACCTGCACCCGGCCCCCCCTCCACTCGGCTGCCGACCGCCTACACGACAGCATCCTTCCACTGTCATGTCCTGACCTAGCCACCACCGCGTACAACGACTCACTATCAGCTACCCTAGACTCTCTGGCACCCCTAACCACACGCAACATCAAACCTAGACCACTCCAACCATGGCAGAACGACCATACTAAATGCCTCAAACGTCGCAGTCGTGCGCTGGAGAGACTATGGCGCAAAACCAAGTCCCCTCTTGCATTCTCCCTCTACAAATCTGCCTTCCTCACCTACACCTCCTCCCTCCACGCCGCCAAGCAGGCCTACTTCGTAAACCTGACCAACACCCTCTCCTCCTGCCCTCGCCGACTCTTCTCCACCTTCAACTCCCTGCTCTCTCCCCCCCCTCCTCCACTCAGTACCTCACTTTCCGCCCACGAGATTGCCATTCATCTCCACAACAAGATTGACGCAATCCGCAAGGACATAGTCAACTTGCAATCTACCTCCCCATCTAGCCTCCCCCCTTCCATCACCCCCTCATCTCTCCCCTCCTCTGACCTCACAAAGGCACTGCCCCCCACCACACCCAAGGCCCTGCCTACCATAACCCCCCCCAGGACTGCACTCCTTCAGCCCTACTACCACTGAGGAAGTCACCAGAGTCTTCTCCGAAGCCCGCCTCACTACCTGCCCCCTGGACCTTATCCCCTCTCAACTCCTCCGGTCACCCCCCTCTTCCCTCATCCGCTCCCTCACCCACATCTTCAATCTCTCCCTCTCTACTGGCGTATTCCCCTCCCCCCTAAAACATGCGCACATCACCCCCATACTCAAAAAGCCCTCCCTGGACCCCACTGACCTCAACAACCTCAGACCAATTTCCCTGCTGCCACTCACCTCCAAGCTCCTTGAGCGCTTGGTCTACGATCGCCTAAGCGCCCACCTAACTGACAGCAACCTCCTTGATCCACTTCAGTCCGGCTTCCGTCCCCTACACTCCACCGAAACTGCCCTCCTCAAAATCACCAATGACCTACTCACCGCCAAAGCCAAAGGCAACTACTCTGTCCTCCTTCTCCTCGACCTCTCCGCGGCTTTTGACACAGTCGACCACCCCCTCCTCCTTAATAAACTACTCTCCCTTGGCATCAGAGACACCGCTCTCTCTTGGTTCTCGTCCTACCTATCCCAACGCTCCTTCAGCGTTTCCTACAACGGTGCCACCTCCCCTTCCCTCCCCCTCTCTGTTGGGGTCCCCCAGGGCTCGGTCCTTGGACCCCTTCTCTTCTCCATCTACACCTCCTCCCTTGGCAAACTCATACACTCCCACGGCTTCAATTACCACCTCTACGCTGATGATACTCAAATCTACCTATCCACCCCTCACCTAACCCCCACTTTCTCCGCCCACATCACTCACCTCCTAAACGACATCTCTGACTGGATGTCGCTCCATTTCCTCAAGCTTAACCTCTCCAAAACCGAGCTTCTTGTCTTTCCCCCTCCCCGCGCCCCCCCCCTCCTTTCCATCACTACCAACAACACCACCATCAATCCCGCCCCGCAAGCCAAGGTCCTTGCTGTCATTCTGGACTCAAACCTTTCCTTTCAACCTCATGTCAAATCACTTACAAACACATGCAGGCTCCACCTCCGCAACATCGCCAAGATACGCTCCTTCCTTACCCCAGACACCACTAAACTACTCGTACACTCCCTGATTATCTCACGCCTTGACTACTGCAACTCCCTCCTCACCGGCTTACCCCAGTGCAAACTCTCCCCGCTTCAGACCATCCTGAACTCAGCGGCCAGACTCATCCACCTCACCAGCCGCTCCACCTCTGCCACCCCCCTCTGCCGCTCCCTCCACTGGCTCCCCATTGCCCAACGCATTAAATTCAAACTGCTCACTCTGACCTATAAGGCCATTCACAACACTGCCTCTAACTACCTCACCGACCTGATTCCCAGGTACCACCCTACCCGTACCCTTCGCTCTTCACAGGACCTCCTTCTATCTTGCTCCCTGGTCTCCTCCTCCCACGCACGACTGCAAGACTTCTCCAGGTCCTCCCCCATCCTCTGGAACTCACTACCCCAATCCATCAGACTGTCACCTTCCCTCCTTACCTTCAGGCGCTCCCTGAAAACCCACCTCTTCAGGGAAGCCTACCCCACCCTCACCTAACAGCCGCTGCCCTTCCCTCCTCCTACCACTCCATCCCCCACAGCCATTTCCTCCTGTACCACTACCCCCTCCCTCCTAGATTGTAAGCTCGAAAGAGTAGGGCCCTCTTACCCCTTGTGTGCTGTTTGTTGTTACTGTACTGTTTCATGTATTGTCCCCCCTCTATTGTACAGCGCTGAGCAAACCCTTTGGCGCTATATAAACTCGATATAATAATAATAATAATAACCAGGAGGAGTAGCAGAATGTGTTTTGAGCAGTAATTCTAAATATGCCTATGCTGTCTGTGAGAAAAACCTTATTAAATGGAAAACTTTATGTAAAAAAAAAAACTTTCTGCATTTTTACAAACACTTGTAGCAAAAAAAATATGTCTTTAAAAAACGCACCATGCCTCTCAAAAAATACCTTGGGGTGTTTACTTTCCAAAATGTGGTCATTTTGTGGATGTTTCTACTGTTCTGGTGCTCCAGGGCCTCCATAAATGTGATAGTCTGGAAATTAGTTGTGTTGGATGCTAGGAATATCTTGTTGATTGACAACTTTGTGTAATAGAAAAATAATAATTTTCTTTCTTCATTTTTCAAAAATGTGTAGTAATAAATAAAATGTTCAAATACTCACCATGCCTCTTAAAAACACTTTTGGGGTGTTTCCTTATCAAAATTAGGTAATTTTGTAGGTGTTTCTACTATCCTGGCACTCCAAGGCCTCCAAAATGTAAAAGATAGTCAGTAAATTAGATACGCTCCTTGCAAGCCTGAAGGTACTCCTTGAATTTTGAACCCCCCTATGCAGCTAGGCTCCTAAAATGTCTCACAAGTGGTATTTGCATACTCAGGAGGAGAAGCAGAATGTGTTCTGGGGTGAAATTCTGATTATGCTGCATGGTGGAAATATCTTATTAATTTACAACTTTGTGTAAAAATCATTTTCTTTTTGCATTTTCCAAAAGCTTGAAAAAAAAAATGAATTTTTCAAAAGACCCACCATACCTTTTAAAAGATAACTTGGGTTGTTTACCCTCTACAACGTGTTCATTTTATGGGCGTTTCTATTGTTCATTCCAGGACCTCCAAACACGTGATAGGTAGTCAGGAAATTGGATACCAAATGTATGCCACTTCAAAGCTTGAAGGTGCTCCTTGGATTTTGGACACCATTATGCAGCAAGACTGCAATAGTCCTACATATGTGGTATCCCCGTACTCAGGAGGAATAGAATAAAATGGTTTGGGGTGTTCTAAGTATGCCTCTGCTGTGTGTGAGAAATATCTTATTAATCACTTGCCCTTCAGAGGATTTACCCCCCTTCCTGACCACGTCATTTGTTGAGATACAGTGCTGCATTACTTTAACTGACAATTACTTTAACAGGCATGCAATGCTGCAGCCCAAATTAAATTTATGTAATTTTTTTCCCCCCACGAATAGAGCTTTCGTTTGGTGGTATTTGATTGCCTCTGTGTTTAAACAAAAAAACAAAAACAAACGACAGTTTTGAGAAAAAAAATATTTTTTACTTTATGCTATTAAACATGTCCAGTAAAAGCCAAAATGTATTCTGTTACATGTCTTTGCTAAAAAGAATCCCAATACATGTAAATTAATTGGTTTACTTGAAAGATATAGCATTTACAAATGGCAGTATATATACTGGAATTATTTTTATTTTACTAGTGATGGCGGCGGTCAGTGACTTATAGCAGGACTGCAGTGGGCATTCTGACACTGGGTGGGAACTGACTAACTGTCACTGAGATCCCCAGTGATACCAATACAGTGATCAGTGCTAATAAAAAGCACTGACACTGTACTAATGACACTGGGCAGGAAGGGGTTAACATCTGGGGCTATCAAAGGGTTAACTGTGTGCTGTGTGTGTTTTACATTGTGTGCTGCTTTACTTGGGAGACATGCTGCTTTGTATCTCTCTGCTGTGCAGAGAGATACAAAGCAGCATGTCTATGCTGACAGGAGAGAGATCTGTGTTGTTTACACACAGATCTCTGCTCTCTCAGCCCTGCCGACTGTGTGCTGTGTGTGTTTTACTATGTGGGCTGTGTGTGCTTTACACTGTAAGCACACTGCGTTGTATGGCTCTGCTATGCAGACGAGAGATCTGTATTGTTTACATACAGGTCTCTCCCCGTCAGTGATACACGGAGATTGCCAGGTGCCGGTGGGGAATCACCAGCCAGGATCTGGTGATTAATATCCGAGGTCGCAAATGGTGGTACGGGTAGGGTGTGCGCACGCCCCCTAGCTAGAAATGTGAAATCACGTATATATACGTGATTTTACGCAGCTGTGTCGCCCTGTAGCAATATTTCTGCTATGGGGTGGCACGGAAGCAGTTAATTAACAGCTGTGTGTAAATAAAAATACAATTTTATTTTCTCTCTCTTTCATTTTCCAAACTGTTGTGCCAAAAAATGTGATCTTCAAAGGATGTCTCTAAATATGTTGAAGGGTCTACTTTTTAAAATATGGTAATTTTGTGGATGATTCTCCTGTCTTGGCACTTTAGGGTCTCAAGAAATGTGTTAGGTAGTCAGAAATTAAGATTATTCATGCCTTTGAAAGCCTAGAGGTACTTGGATTTTGGGCCCCTCTATGCATCTTGGTAGTGAAAATGTCTCACACGTGTGGTATTCCCACACTCAGGAGAAATAGCAAAAATGTGTTTTGGGGTGTAATTGTAAGTATGCCCACGCTCTGTGTGAGAAATATATTGTTAAAATGACAACTTTGTGAAATTAAATCAAATTTTGTTCATTTTTAAAAAAAATTTGCCCAAAAAAAAAGCAAATTAAAACAAACTTACCATACCTCTTCCTAAATACCTTGATCTGTCTGCTTTCCAAAAATGTGTCATTTTGTGGGTGATTTTTACTGTCCTGGCACTTTAGAGCCTCATGAAATAACATAGGCATTCAATACATCAGTACTGATAAATTTCCATATACTGTATATATATTATATATACACTATATTGCCAAAAGTATTGGGACACCCCTCCAAATCATTGGATTTTTAGGAGTTCCAATCACCACCATAGCCACAGGTGTTTAAATCAAGTTTCTAGGCATGCAGACTGATTCTACAAACATATGTGAAAGAATGCTACTAAATATCCCATAGTCAACTATTAGTGGTATTATAACAAAGTGGAAGCAACTGGGAACAAAAGCAACTCAGCTATGAAGTTGTAGGCTACATAAAATGACAGAGCGGGGTCAGTGCATGCTGAAGTGTACAGTGCGCAGAAGTCGCCAACTGTCTGCAGAGTCAATAGCTAAAGACCTCCAAACTTCATGTGGCCTTCAGTTTAGCACAACAGTGCATAGAGAGCTTCATGGAATGGGTTTCCATGGCCGAGCAGCTGCATCCAAGCCTTACATCACCAAGTGCAATGCAAAGCGTCGGATGCAGTGGTGTAAAGCACGCCACCACTGGACTCTAGAGCAGTGGAGTGGAGACATGTTCTCTGGAGCGATGAATCATACTTCTCTGTCTGGCAATCCAATTGACATGTCTGGAGTTGGAGATTGCCAGAAGAACGGTACTTGCTTGACGGCCTTATGACAAGTGTAAAGTTTGATAGAGGGTGGATTATGGTGTGGGCTCATTTTTCAGGAGTTGGGCTTGGCCCCTTATTTCCAGTGAAGGGAACTCTTTAGACATCATCATACCAAGACATTTTGGACAATTTCATGCTCCCAACTTTGTTTGAACTGTTTAGGGATGGCACCTTCCTGTTCCAACATGACCAGTGCACAAAGCAAGGTCCATAAAGACATGGATGAGCGAGTTTGGGGTGGAGGAGCTTGACTTGTCTGCACAGAGTCCTGACCTCAACCCAATAGAACAAATAGATGAATTAGACTAAAATCCAGACCTTCTCGTGCGACATCAGTGTCTGACCTCACAAATGCGCTTCTGGAAGAATGGTCAAACATTAACATTCCCATAGACACACTCCTAAACCTTGTGTACAGGCTACCCAGAAGAGTTGAAGCTGTTATAGCTGCAAAGGGTGGGCCAACTTAATATTGAACCCTACGGACTACGACTGGCATGCCATGTGCATGTATAGACAGGCCTTCCAATACTTTTTGGAAATATAGTGTATATATATATATACTATGGTTTGTAGACACTAAATAACATAGATTGATTTGTTTTTTATTTTACCAAAGGAATATAGCAGAATACTTTTTGACTTAAATTTATGAAGAAAAGATTATTATTTGGTCTTTTTCCTTTATATAGCAAAAAGTAAAAACCCAGTGGTGATTAAATACTACAGGGAGGGGGTTAAATATGCTGGACTTCAAGTCATTAAATTACCCCTCCCTCACCATCCCCCTTTCTGCATATTTGCTTTGTAATAATGATACACAAATTCAATTAAGAGTCAGCATAACCGCCAATCAACCAGTCTGTACAGAAGAAGATTTGAGTAATGGTGGCTTCCATATTTTCCATATGACAGGTTCTCTCTAAAGTTGAGCTATAATACTTTTTTCTATTTTTTTTTTTTTTTTGGTTGACTATTTATACAAATGTCTTATGTTTACAAATACACATTGGGCTGGTGACACTGTGACTGGTCTAGCGGTGATCAGTATTAGTGCAGTCATAACACTAGTGTAACAGGGAATTATGATTTGTCTTAAGCAACACAGGTGAAAGCATTAGCTTCCAGACTGTCTCACTTTAATTGAAACTTTACAGTTATCTTGCTAGAAAAGGCATGGAGAAAGCGCCATTATAAATTTCACTCATTCAGTGGTATGACTGAGTTTAAGTTTTTGAGCTCTGTAAACAAAAAGCTTTTTTAACAAAACTGATGCAGCTGAGGTGCGAAAAGAGCTTACAGCTAATCTGCAGGCTGGAAATGTAAATATGTAATATTATTGAAACAAAGTGTATAACTTCTATATACTCACACAAATGCCTGTTACAGTACTAAAATTCTTCTGCATGGAATTTAACTATGTTCTCATCCTTTATATGGGGTGCCACTACACTTACATTGAAACTAGCCACTCTACAAAATACTGCCTAAAATGGAAGCCAGTATGGCCCTGTTGGATATGTTTTTATTAATTGGCATGACAGCTAATATAATTTGATTCCACAATGTACTGTATAAATTACTAAAAATGAAATACACAAATATCAAATTGAAAGTCCAAGGAAGGATCCAAGGTAAAGTGCTTAGTGAAGAGTATAATCACTCATTATTACTTCTGTGTTTCCACCACCTTAAAAAAAAAAAATTATTCTTACTGGAAGCATCAGACATTTTGCTAAAAGGTCAAAAGCACATTCCACTTGTCAGCCACATCAGGGATGGAATCAAGATAAGGTTCTCACAATAAGAACAAGTAAATCAGCATATAAAATTCAGATGGCACCTCCAGCCACCAAACTCCGCCCTACTCGTTTTGACATTAACGCATGTCATCAAGAGAATCATGTTCTGAGTTTGACATGCTCTTTTACTTGTTTTTATTGTGAACACCTTTTCTTGATTCTATTTAAACTCCTATATACTGTTTTACACAGTACTATTTTGTGTATATTTTGTATTCAGACATTTTGGTGAGTGCTGCATCCTGTGCTCATTCACTGTTTTACTTTTCACATTTATTGAACATAACATATGATTTATCTTTGGTTTACTAAACAATTAATCACAAGAGTCCTCCCTGTAGTTCCCCATAACCCTGGAGCACACTAGGCATATGTTCTTGGGACCAAATAGTTGTTAATATTCCTGAAGGTCCCTAAGTGTTATTTTACCCCAAACACCACCTCCCATCCCTGAAACTGGCCAAATTGGTGTGTATTGAGGCTGAATAACTCATTTCATTTCAGAACCTCTCAGATAATGTATCCTTATAGGACAACCCTATATTAGCCCAACTTCATGCAAATCCAGATACTGCATTTGGGAAATCCATGGTATTGTAACTTTTGCAGATATTTATCAGGAAAGAAAGATGCTCTCATTCATGAAATTAGGCAACATTTGCACTCGTAACTAGAGACACTGCATGCAAACACCTTATTTCCATCGTATTTAAAGAGTTACAACTACACATATCCCAGCTGTTCAAACACTGGAGTAATGGATACTGCCAAAATTGTGACTAGTCGCCATCACTATGGGCCCCATCGAGCTAGCAAAGACATCATCTTAGTTCTACATGCATTTGAAATGCGAACTGAGGGCATATGATCATCTTAATAGTTGACCTGCTTGCCTTAGGAGTATTATATATACAGTATATATATATATACAGTCAGGTCCATAAATATTGGGACATCAACACAATTCTAACATTTTTGGCTATATACACCACCACAATGGATTTGAAATGAAACGAACAAGATGTGCTTTAACTGCAGACTGTCAGCTTTAATTTGAGGGTATTTTACATCCAAATCAGTGAACGGTGTGGGAATTACAACGTTTCATTTCAAATCCATTGTGGTGGTCTATAGAGCCAAAAAATGTAAGAATTGTGTCGATGTCCCAAAATATATGGACCTGACTGTATATATATCAGTGCGGGTACATTGTAGGAGTGTTCCTCAGTGTTCTATTGGTTTGAAGGGAGTTGACCTGCTTTTTAAGTGTCCCCCCCCAGTATGTAAATACTGGCCATTTTTAAACTCTAATATTGTTTATAGTGATACCAAGTTGACCTATCTTTTAATAGTAACTGTCCTAGAGTTTAATACGTATGTAGAATTGTTCATTTTACAACCCAAATATTCATTGAATACAATAGAGTACTGAGTAGCTGCAAACTGTGTTCTTTTTTCTTGATTGTTAAATGTCTGAGACTAGAGTGTCACAGGGGTTCACTAGTTTGCAAGTCAGGGTAACAGCAGGGGCAGACATCAACTGGGACCCTCATGGGGCTACACTTATTATTAATATATGCATCTGTGAAAATATGTAGTTTCTTTTTATACTTCACAACTAGAGATGAGCGAATTTTTCAAAAATTCGATTCGGCTGATTCGGTTCGAATTCCAGGAAGAAATTCGATTCGATGCGAATTAATTCGCTACGAAGTTAACTTATAAAAAGGGTTTCTAGGCTTCAGAGAGCCTTTAAAATTAGTGCAGAACACTGTACCTTTAATTTAAATGCCCTTGGAGATGAGGAAGGAGAAGGAGAAGGATGA